ATTCCAGGACCAGGAAGATCCTCTGGAGCAGGAAATGGCAATCCACTCCAGGATTCTTGCCTGGAGAATCCCATAGACAGAAGAGCTGGGCAATACAGTCCACAGGGTCAAAAAGAGGAGGACGTGACTTAGTGATGAAACAATCCAATCTAAAGGCTGATTGACTTTGCTATACAACAGAAACTAACACAGCATTATAAAGCATCTATACTCCAATCAAAATTTTGTAAAAGAATATTTATGTTCAGCCATTGCTATAATCTTCACATTTAATCTCAACATATTCACAGTGGGTTAATTTTGTGTCTTGGTATCAGACAAATTATTGCAATGCTTCGCTTCCCTTTTCTTTCATTTTTTTTTAACATTTCAAATGATCTTCATTAAGAGAAAAAAGAGTTGTTTTTAATTTGCTCATCCATTTCAATTGTTTCAAGTCCCTTTATCGATTTTTATGTTGAAATATTTCTTTTCATATTTCAAAAACAGATCCCTTGTTTAGCAGCTTTCAAACCTGGCATCAGGTAATAGCTTGCTTGCCAAGAACGTGAGCTTCCCCTTCCCCCCAACTAATAAAAAAATCAATAAGTCATTAGAGATGCCTTTAATCAAGATTAAATAAATGAATAAATTTAACTTTCATCCGACCATGAAAAGCATACTTGCTATAGTAAAATAGCATAGTCAAGTTTGAATCCTTGATGATCAAATTGGGCTTAAAGAATAAAACCTTACCAAAGCCTCCCCATCACTGATGACCACCTACCTGATCCCCAGTGGTCAAAGGGACACAGAATGCTTACGCCTCCCTCTCCAAGACATGGGGAGGGTTAGCTTTCGGCATCTTGAATGCCCTCCATTCAATGACCACAACAGACCAGAACAAATTGATATTAAGAGAAGCCATGACAAACCTAGACAGAGTATTAAAAAGCAGAGACATCCCTTTGCCAACAAAGGTCTGTATAGTCAAAGCCATGGTTTTTCTAGTAGTCATGTATGGGTGTGAGAGTTGAGCCATAAAGAAGGCTGATCATCAAAGAATTGATCCTTTTGAATTGCAGTGCTGGAGAAGGCCCTTGAGAGTCCCTTAGGCTGCAAGGAGATCAAACCAGTCAATCCTAAAGGAAATCAACCCTGAATATTCATTAGAAGGACTAATGCCAAAGCTGAAACTCCAATACTTGGGCCACCTGATGGGAAAAGCTGACTCATTGGAAAAGAGCCTCATGCTGGGAAAGACTGAGGGCAGGATGAGATGGTTGGATGGCATCACCAACTCAATGGACATGAATCTGAGCAAATTCTGGGAGACAGTGAAAGACAAAGGAGGCTGGCATGTTGCAGTCCATGGGGTCAGAAAGAGTTGAACATGACTTAGCATCTGAACAACAACAGCAAGAGAAGCTGACCAGAGCAGGAGTGGCCGCCCCCATCCATGGTGCCACGCCTGGTGGAGAAGGACACGGCCCACTCTCTCTTCCTCCCCAACAGGGTGCCTTCCACCTCCCTCACACACACACTTCCACAGCTTTGGCGGGGGGTGGGGGGAGCCAAATTCCTTAGACTGGGGCTCAAACCCAGTTTCCATGTTTCCCTAAACATTAGCCATGTTGATGATAAACGATGACAACAATGGTGAGGATGAGGCCCACCTGTCTAGCTTTCCCACCACCAACTCGCACATGTCAGGACCAGACAGAGAGCTGTTGATGGCTCTCTGAACCAGCCTGTTTCTCAAGTCTCTTGATTTTGCAGATTTCTAATCTGCCTAGTTAAAGCCTCTCCAGCTACCAGATTTGCCCTACCCTTGAAGACTGAATCCAGGTGCCACTTCTCTTGGGAGGCCTTTCTGGATGACCCTGTGGTCCACTGGGGTCTCTGCTCTGCCACTAGAGTGCTGGACTGGTAGCCGCCAGAGCGCTCAGTTCTCTGGCTGGTCCTTGACTCATGACCTGCCCACCTTTCCCTGAAGACTGTGAGGAGGTGGGGAGCATGTGGTTCACATCTATGCTCAGAACCGGGCACAAGAATGACCCCTGGCTGGCCCTCAATCATTAGCAGCACACTTCTGTTCTCCTAATTTATCTTCATACTCCAATGGCTGGCACAGCATCCATCTCACAGGTAGCAGTGTTCAACAAGTTCATGTTGACATGGGCGGATGGCTGAATGAACTGTTGTTCCCTAGAGCTTCTTTTCTTAGGTCATAGAAGCCCAGGTAAACAGAAGCCCAGAGGTAAGAAACTGATGAGTTGGACGAAAAGAAAAAGACCTTCCCTTGCTTCTGTTTTGGTCAGTGTAGTGGGCTAAACATTGTCCCTAGCCCCTGCCACCAAAAAAAAAAAAAAAAAGAGAGAGAGAGGGAGAGATGCCCACCTGGATCCTCAGATTATGACCTTGCTTGGAAATAGTCTTTCTTGGGCTTCCCAGGTGGTGCTAGTGGAACCTGCCTGCCATTGCAGGAGACACAGGAGACATGGGTTCAATCCCTCAGTCAGGAAGATCCCCTGGAGAAGGGAATGGCCACCCACTCCAGTATTCTTGCCAGGAGAATTTCATGGACAGAGCAGCCTGATGAGCTATAGTCCATGGGGTCACAAAGAGTAGGATACGACTTAGCACACAGCATACACAGAGTCTTTGCAGATGTAATGAAGGTAAGGCTCAAGATGAGATTATACCAAATCATGTGGGGTCCTCAATCCAATGACAGGTGTCCTTATAAGAGGAAGAAAAGAACGGCACAGAGGCAAAAGAGAAAAGCCCTGTGAAGATGGAGGTAGAGACTGGCTTTATGCAGCCAAAAGCCAAGGAATGCCTGGAGCCACCAGAAACTGGAAGAAATGATGGAAAAGTCTCCCTAAGAGCCTTTGGTGGGAAAATGGCCCTGCTGACACCTTATTTTGGACTTTCGGCCTCCAGAACATTGATGGAATAAGTTTCCGCTGTTTTAAGTTGCCCAGTTTATGATGACTTTTATGTCAGCCTTCCCTGATGGGTCAGTGGGTGAAAAATACGTCTCCAGTGCAGGAGACCTGGGTTTGATCCCTGAGTTGGGAAGATCCCCTGGAGGAGGAGATAGCAACCCACTCCAGCATTCTTGCCTGGAGAATTACATGGACAGAGAGGAGCCTGGCAATGTAATCGCCAGACAGAGGGCTACACTACAGTCCATAGGGTCACATAGTGGGACACAACTTAGCGACTAACACTTTCTTCTTTTTAAAAAGTCAATGAAGATGCATGCACTGTCTCTTTTAACACTCCTATGGCCTTTTGGGGTAGATTCCATCATTAACCCTATTTCAGGGAAGAGGAGATAAGTCATTTGCTCCATGATGCAAGGTTGGGACTCCCATCTAAATCTGTCTGGCTTTCCTGCTCTTAAATACTATATTCCCATCTCTCCCAGTCCTCTCTCCACTGCAGAGGGACTCAACATCTAGGTCAAGAACCCCAGAGTCTAAGGAAGAACCAAAACTTGGTTCAAAATAGGCCTGGGGTCTCTGCAGCTGAGTTCCAAGTCCAATCCTTGAGTCTATGTAAGCCCTTCACATGGGGACTCTGTCTCCTTCACTGATACCCATAGCAGTACCACATGGTTTCCCCAGGGTCAGGAGGGGGGAATCATGGATGAAAAAAAAGTAAGGACTTAATCTTCCTTTTTCTTGGTCTATCCAATATCTGGCATGTAATATATGCTTGCATGCATGCACGTTCAGTTGCTCAGTCGTGTCTGACTCTTTGTGATCCCATGGACTGTAGCCCACCAGCCTCCTATGTCTATAGGAGCCCTATGTCTATGGGATTATCCAGGCACGAATACCGGAGTGGGTTGCCATTTCCTTTTCCAGGGGATCTTCCTGACCCAGGGATCAAATCTGCATCCCCTGCATTGGCAGGCAGATTCTTTACCACTGAGCTACCAGGAAAGCCCAACCTAAGTTTGCAAAAGGTTATTTTTTTTTTTGTATTGAATAAAGGGGCTATGACAACTAGGTAGCTATAACAACCATACAATTGATGTCCATGCATTTTACAGATTCAAGTTCTAGGACTGTATTTCCTCCACCTATTACAGAGAGGAAATGGAGGTCATCTTAGCGTATTGCTACTGATAAGCAGCCAACCTAGCAGGGAAGCCTAGCATTTCCAGTCCTATCCCTATCCCCTGTCTACTGGCTCACCCTCCTGCCCATCAGTCTGATCACTGCAATAGCAGGGAGAAAAAAATTCCATGGCAAACAGAGTGTCTGACTCTCCAACAGAAAGCTTTCTCCTGAATCCTATTTCCAGTTCAGAGGACTTTAAGATTAAAGTCAAAAGTAAGCAAGGTAGAACCATGAGCAGCCCATATGGTCCCTGTCCCCCTGGTTTGAGGCTCTGCCCAGCGACCAGATGGCTATCCATTCTCCAGGACACCCCCCTGCCTGGAATAGAGGGAAGGGTGTTCCAGACGGCCAGAACTGGGCAGAGACCCCAGAATATCGCTGGAGCAGAACCCACGCCCCTGCCACATGCCATCTGGATGGCTGTCCCCTCAATTTTTATTCTCATGAATCCTCTGGGGACAAGTCCAACTAGAGACCTGATTAGCCAAATTCCAACTGGAAAAGTTCTCTCTGGAACTGCTCCCTTGTTATTTATGCAAATGTCTCTCCTCTATAAATGGGGCAGGAATTTTAACCCAACAGAAATTCTGGACTCCAAATTCTCTGTTGAACTAAGACTCTCTCATCGGGAAGCTTGAGGACTTGGGTTTCTCCAGTGTATCCTTCACCTGATCTCTCTGACACCCCCATGAGTCTCATCACCATGATTCTTACCCAACACGGGGAGAGAGACCCTGATTCAGAAAGGAAAGGCAACCTTGCCAGAATGCCCTACTGTCAAGGCTAATCCCTGAGAAAGATGTCATAATCTGGGTCTTATGACATCTAAAACAACGCCGGAGCAGCTAACTCACGCATAGGAGGCAAAACTCCCAATATCAAAGAAGCAACCATCTGGGCTCTTTTCTCTCTAGTACAGAGGGGACCGACAGTTGACTTCTGACATAAAGTCTTCAGATGTCAAATTCCCTGAAGGTAAAGACCTTACATTCCTATGCACCTCGGCCCATAACCCACCCTAGAATAAGGCAAGATAGTCAGTGGATACTCTTGACATGCATGGGAGAAATACGGGTCATTGGCTACCACGGCAAGGTCTCTGTCAGTCAACAGTTACTTCCTTTTTCACCTGGAAAAGGAGGGTGGGGTGTAAAGATGGAATCAGTGTCCAGGGTCAAAGTCCTCACTTAAGGATTGTTGATCCCTTTCCTAGTCAATCATTCTAAGAAACAAAAGAAGTTCCATAAAGAGATGAATGGGCTTCCCAGGTGGCACTAGTGGTCAAGAACCCACCTGCCAATGCAGGTTCAAACCCTGGGTTGGGAAGATCCCCTGGAGGTGGGCATGGCAGGCACCCCATGCCAGCATTCTTGCCTGGAGAATTCCATGGACAGGGCAGCCTGGCGGGCTACAGTCCATGGTGTTGCAAAGTCAGACATGACTGAAGTGACTTAGCATTCATGCAAAGTGCTAAGCACTGTCCCACCTTTCTGAATCATATCCTCCTCCTGGCCCTTTTCATCTGCCCTTGAGTAGAAAATTCTACAGCCAAACAGCACAGTCAGGAATGTCTGTAAAACAGAACTGCAGAGTTCTGGATAAACAGGGCAAGGACCAGGGTGGGGAGAAGAAGAACATGTGAACGGCTGTCTGTCCCAAGTTCACCCCAGCTTTTCATAATCTTCCTGGATACTGGTGGGCAGGGCCTGAGCCAAGTCCAGATCCAATCACCACAGAGCCACAGTCATCAACCACTGGAACAGTGCTACCCGGGGATGGATTTTTTATGACACTGGGCTGCAGCCTCCAGACATATGTACCATGCTTGTGCAGACGGCCTGCTGCACTGATTCACCTGCTGGGTGGGGGACTTGGCTCTCCTCTCCGGATGCCCTCAAGGACTAGAGCACTGAACATCTCTCTGTGGGTCCCTGGGAACGCTGCCCTTTGCAGTCTAGCCCCTTTCTGCCCAGGCTCCTTTCGGCCTTCACATCCCTGCATCAACTTATAAAGCCCACCCTGATGATGTACTCTGGTAGGTCTGCCTCAGCATCTCCTATCCTGCTCGCAGACCCCCACTCACAAAGTCCTCAGTTGATTCCCCTCTCACTCTCACCAGGACTCCCTGCCACGTGGCTTCTGGAAGATTACAGCCCGCCCACAGATTTCCGACCTCCTCTTGGAACAACTCCACGAAACGCGCGGTACCGAAGGCCCAAGCCCATTCAGCACTGCTCTCACAGTTGTGGACTCCCACGCACTGTTTTCGTCTCACTTCCTCTAAATGATTCCACTATCCCTGGTCTATATATTTATCCATAGAGCCTCCCGTGGAGAATTATTCCCAACAATAATTATCTACGCTTTCCATGTATTTATCTCTGGGATCTATTTGGATAGGCTATCTACCATCCCTCCTGGATCTATTTTCATGTCTCTCTCTGTCTATAGTATTTATCCCTATTTTAACATGACTGCCTTTTTTTTTTTTTTCTAAAAACCCTCAAACTGGGACAGTTCCCAGGGGGATGGGTTTTGCCTGCAGTTAAAAGCACGATGTGAGTCTACACGTGCTCAGCAGCTAAATGTGTGGCAGGTCAGAGCAGCGGCGCTTGTTCAGCAGAAAGGCGTGGACCTGGGAAGCCAGGAGGGCACAGAGGATGCGGGAAGGGACCAGATGCTCTCATGAGACCCTCCTGGGGTGAGTCCACCCGCAAGGAAGGAGAATGGGAAAGAGGGCAATAAGGGAAGAATCTGAAGGCACATTCTGGGTTTAGATCCCAACTCTGCCTCTGAGTTAAGCCTCTCAGCCTTTTTTTCTCTTCTATAATATGAGAATCCTGTAAGTCCCTAACTCACTGACTTTGGGGTCAAGATGAAGTGTGATATACCTGAAAAGTACTTGGCACAAGGCTTGACATAAGAGTCAGTGTTCATTAATGAAAACAATTGCTCTTATAACTATTGGTATTATTCTCAACATTGGAAGGACCAATGATGAAGCTGAAGCTCCAGTACTTTGGCCACCTCATGCGAAGAGCTGACTCATTTGAAAAATCCTGATGCTGGGCAAGATTGAGGGCAGGAGGAGGAGATGACAGAGGACAAGATGGTTGGATGGCATCCCTGACTCAATGTACATGAGTTTGAACAACCTCCTGGAGATGGTAAAGGACCAGGTAGCCTGGCACGCTGCATCCATGGGGTCGCAAAGAGTCGGACACAACTGAGTGACTGAACAACAACAACAGTTATTCTCAGCATGTTCTAATACCTTTTTTTGGTAGTTTTTATGAACATCAGTGCCTTGTTGGGTGTGTCTATCTTAAGATGCACACAGTGATGGGCATATTCCTAGCTCAGGAATGTAGTGGATAACAGAGAGACTTTCAATTAATGAACAAACCTACTCAGACACTTTATTTCATCTGTAAACATATTTTATTTATCTTTTGGCTGCCCTGGGTCTTCACTGCAATGTGTGGGCTTCTCTAGTGTGGCACATGGGCTTAGTGGCTCCAAGGTATGTGAGATCTTAGTTCCCTGATTAGGGCTCAAACTCTCTTCTCCTGCATTGGAAGGGAAGGATTCTTAAGCACTGAACCACCAGGGAAGTTCCTGCAGATACTTTAAGTGATACTGGAGAGAAGAGATGAGGATGCAGAACAAGAGTAAAGTTTGCATTTGCAAGGAAGAAAACTGTAAGTGCAAGCACAGGGCAGCTTCAAGCTCAACCAAATATACAAGATATTTCACCAAGAGTCAAAGAGCTGAGCTACGGGGCTTAGAAGGGTTAGACAAGGCCCAGAACAGCTAGCAGGAGCCAAATGAAAGGTGCCAAAGATCACTGGGGTCCTGCTGGGGTCTGAACACCAGGTATGCAGTAGACCCACTTAGCAAAGGTCTATAGCTGTCCTGTTCAGCCACTTAGGACAGGGGGGAAAAAAAATCACAGAATGGGGATCCACAGAGGAGGGGTTGTTAAACAGGCAGAGCAAGAATGATGGGAATGGAGGAAGTCTAGAGTTCCAGGGAGACGCCCTGAAGAGCTAACAATGGGGCTGGTTGGATGGGGAAGCAAATGGAGCCAAGAGAACCCAGAAGTCACAGGGGCCAAGAGACTGGACGTCAAGGTCAGGTGTAAAGTGAAGGTACAACACTGCATATGTAAAATGGATAACCATTAAGGACATACCGTACAGCACAGAGAACACTGGTCAATGTTGTGTGGCAGCTGGAGAGGAGAGGAGTTTGGAGGAGAATGTGTGTGTGCTAAGTCGCTTCAGTAGTGCCTGACTCTTCGTGACCCTGTGAACCATAGCCTGCCAGGCTCCTCTGTCCGTGGGATTTTTCCAGGCAAGAATACTGGAGTGGGTTTCCATGCCCTCCTCCAGGGGAGCCTACTGATCCAGGGATTGAACCCACATCTCTTATGTCTCCTGCTTTGGCAGGTGGGTTCTTCACCACTAGCACCACCTGGGAAGCCCTTGCAGGAGAATGGATACATGTATATGTGTGGCTGAGTCACTCTGCTATCCACCTGAAACTATCACAACATTGATAATTGGCTATCTTCCAGTATAAAATGTTGAAAAAAAATAAAATAAAGTGAAGGTACAGTGGGGAGAAGGGAGATTAGAGGTAGGTCTGGATCTTAGAGAAATTCCATGCCATAGGGCAAGCCAAGGAGTGGCCTTACTATTATATAGCTGAAATGGAGAGGAAGTGAAGTCACTGATAAGGAAGGGGTCGAAGAGGAGGAGTGCCAAGGGTCATCAGTACTGCTTCACATCTCAGAACTCCAAGGCTGCTCTCAAGTTCTCCAGCAGAACAGTGAGACTTTTTATTACAAACTTGCAGAAATAGATTCATTATAAAACCTCTAGGCAAGTCCCACTTGCCTTCTCCATCCAAGATGATATCACAAAAGAAGCTTTCAGGAAGGAGGCTACCTGAGCTCATGGTGGAGCATCTTGAACATTATGATGATCGCTCCAAGTTTGGGTGTTGTATGTACACATGTACATACATGTATGTATATATACATGTACATGTATGACTCATGTACACCCTTCATGAGTCACATTCAACTTTGCACTAGTTTCCCCAGAGGGGAAAGTAATTTAAAGGCACTAATGAAATCTACCAGCCTAGGCAGAGAACCGAGGTGACGTGCAAACACCTGACGTTCTAATGACTCTGCCATGGTATTGAAAGGAGCCAGGAATGTAGGCAGCCTGGGTGCAGGCAGAGGCATACCAGCTCCCTGTGGAGTAATGTCAGCGGAAGGGGACGAGGAGTAAGAGGCAGGATGCTGACCCTCAGGACCCAGAGATGCCCTGGCCCATGTTAACAGGGCTGGCAGACAGATGGGGGCCACGACATGGAGGAAGCTGGCACAGAACTAGCAGGATTTTGCTTCCAAACTGCCAGATGCTAGCTACAGCTTTCCATCTGCCTCTTCTTGTCCTCTCCTTTAGGGTTTCACTGTTTACATGGTACACATCCAAATACATTTGCTGACCTCACCTAGGGAGTCTGGCTTGGTGAAAAGGTCAGCACTCCAGCAGTTCAGAAATGCAAGGTGCCTCCTCTCTGGCATATGCCCAGGAAGCCAGAATTCACAGAGCACTGTTTACAGTCTAGAGAGATCGCTAAAACATGCAGGGATGCCATAGCAAGAGCCATCCTTGCTATTATAGATCATGTAGGAGCTTCACCTGCCACTAACCCATCTTGCAGCCGCTTTCGTCTTGCTTCCTTCTTCCTTCCTCTCATCATTCTTGGCACCGTCATGTGATGCAGGACCGTCAATGGGAAAATAACGACCCCGTTGGCAAGTTCAACAGAAAACAGGCCCCTTGGGCAACCCTTTCAAAAAGAAGTTTGGACTTCCGGTGTGGTCCAGTAGTTGAGAGTCTGCCTCCCAATGCAGGGGAAATGGGTTTCATTCCTGGTCCAGGAAGATTCCACATGCCGTGGAGCAACTAAGTCCATGCACCACAACTATTGAGCCCACTCTTGCCTAGAGTCTGTGCTTTGCAACAAGAAAAGCCTCTGCAGTGAGAAGCCCACGCACCATAATGAAGAGTAGCCCCCACTCACTGCAACTGGAGAAAGTCCACATGCACAGCAATGAAGTCCCAGCACAGCCCAAAACAAATTAATTAATGAATTTAAAAAGAAATATATCTGAAGAAGTAGGCTCCTACGAGGAAAATCGGAAAGTTCCGGGTACCCTGGGATCTATCAGCCTGGGGCAGTTGCCTTTGAATTACCAGGTTGTACAAGTCCTGCGTTGATCATCCAGCAACTTGAGCCTAGAAGGAGAGCAAGGAGGGGAGTGGTACCCAAGGAAACGGGCGCTAAGGTAGCTGTGGGCACTCCGTCTGACCACAGAGCAGGCTGGGACACACAGGGTCATCACTAACGGGTCATCTGTGATTATGTGGTGAGAGGGGTAGGGAAACATGACAAGAGATGCAGAGGGAGAAGATTGGCATCCCTCCTTTCAGAGAAAGAAGGTCTTACCTAGGGGACTGCTGAGACTCAGATGGCCAAAATCCAGCCCTAATCCTTCTCTTCCCACAATTCTCTGCTCTTTTTATTCTAACTCCCATCGCATGTTCACTCTTCATGCTGCCTGATCACCATCCTCCTCCTCTACTCTGCCTGTGACTCCCCTATCCCAGTGAAATCCCAGTCCATCCACTTGTGTCTACTCGGGTCTACAAGGCTGCCTGGGAGCTGGAACCTAGACCAGCACTACCCACGATATGTCTCTTTGCATCCTGAGCTGGAAGTCAGTGGATGATGCTGTTAGGAACCAGGGTTCTAGGGACCACTTTTAACTGGGACCCAAGAAGAAAAGTCATGACTTGAGCCCAAGGAGGGAGAAAAGGAGAGCCAGATAAAAAGGGAGAGGAGAAGGAAGACTTCTGACCCTCAAGCAGAAGCACAGATGTTAGGAAATAAATAAAAGATACAGAAAGAGACCTCAGCCTGGCCTGGCATGACTTTTTTTTCCTCTTGCTGCAGTAATGATCTGACCAGGGTTAATCCTGCCGCATTCTTCACGTCCTAACTCATCTTCATTGAGTCTCACCTGTCTCCTGAAGATGGATGGCAGTGATGCAGGAGGTGGCTCCGATTAAGTCTAGGGCCCGATGAGATGGGAATTATACACGCCTCCCCACACCTGAGGCCCAGGGCCTCACCCCATCCTAGGAACGAGGGTGCGGGGTGGACACTGCCCTCCTCCTGACTGTGTCTGCCGAGCAGCCTGCCTGGGAGGCCCGCTCCAGCGTGCCTGCCATTTTACCCTAGCACGTGATTCGGGGAAGACTGAGGAGACCACAGCGCTCACTGCTTAGAAGATGCCAACCTGTCCCTTTGGTGTGGTTCTCTCTTCTGGCCTGTCTGTCCCCTCTGACCAAGAATGCCAGGGAGGCATGGGGGTTTTCACAAGCCATTGCATTCAGGATCACCACCTTCATCTCTGAACATCGGCAGCAGGGCTTCCAACAGAGCAGAGATGAGGAAAAGGGAACCGATGTTTATCAGGCACCTACTGTATGCTAGGCTCCATGCTGTCCAGTTTTATGAATATTCTCGTTTAGTCTGAACAGCAACCTGGAGCCTTAAGATGTCATGATGCCCATTTCAGAGCTAGGAAAACAGAAGCTGAGGGGGACTAGATGGCATGCTTCAAATCACAGAGCTGGAAAGCACTGACGTGCCTGATAAGAGGAAGCTGGAAAAAATGGATTAAGGTTCTATGCAAAAAGCATCAGGACTGTGGTGGAAGCAGGAGCTGGCAGACACAGAATCCTTGCTTTTGTATCTTCTCTATGGCAGCAGTCCCCAACCTTTTTGGCACCAGGGACCAGATTCGTGAAAGACAATTTTTCCATAGGCCAGGGTAGGTGGGGGTGATAGTTTCTGGATGATTCAAGTGCATTACATTTACTGTGCACTTTATTTCTATTTAGTGGCAATCTCAGGATATTCTGCCTTGACTTTACAATTAGGGTTTGTGCCCCTATGAGAATCTAACGCCACCACTGATCTGACAGGAGGCAGAGCTCATGTGGTGATGTGAGCAATGGGGAGCGGCTGTAAATACAGACAAAGCTTTCCTGGCTTGCCCATGGCTCACCTCCTGCTGTGCAGCCTAGCCTGGGGGCTGGGGACCCCTGCTCTATGGCATGGCCCCAGACTCCCAGCCTCTGCCCCACTTTTGAGTTCTGCTTCTGTGCCTCAGTTCCTGATGGTTTCTGCCCCCCAGAGGAGCTCCTCCATAAAGCATCCCAAGACAATTATGTCCCTTCTCACAAACTGCAGGACAAAACCAACCTCCTACCTCACCTTCCCCTTGGGTGGCTCTCAGAAAGACCACATGCCACAGACAGGCTCAGCTCAGGGATTTCGGTTGTTGTTTAGTCACTATGTCCTACTTTTTGTAACCCCATGGACTGTAGCCCACCAGGCTCCTCTGTCCATGGGGTTTCCCTGGCAAGAATACTGGAGCGGGTTGCCATTCCCTTCTCCAGGAGATCTTCCAGGCCTGGGGATCGAACCTGCACCTCTTGCAATGGCAGGCGGGTTCTTTACCATCTGAGCCACCAGGGAAGCCCCAGCTCTGGGATGCTCTGGGCTTCCTCTGGATCCATTGCTGTGCAGGACACTGCAAGGCAGCTAGTTACTTATCGCCAGGTGTGAGGGGGTAGTGGGTGGTGGGGGTGAACTCTACTCTGCCAAATCTCGCATCAGGCTGGAGCTGCCCTTTCCTTTACTTTCTGTTGTTGTTTTCCATTTTCTTCCCTCTCTTTTAAAATTGCTTTTAATTATTTTTAGGCAAGGCAGCCAAAAACTCCAGGTCATCTGGAAATAAAACACAATTTATTCTTATGGTAACACAGTTAACGCATAATTTGATGGGACACACAATTTGTTTGGGAAATCTGAGGAAGTGGTAGCAAGAGGGTGGAGGCGCCATGGGCATCTGGAGGCCAAGATCTGGCAGCCTGACTGTGGTGGGGAGAGGGCTGATGAGGACTGCCAGGTTTGGGGAGCAAAGAGGGGGACGGGAAATGCTGACTAGGGGACAGCAGAAAGCTGTAGATGGGCAATCCAGAGCTACGAACATTCTGTCTCCTGGCAGCCTCACTGCAGCCCAGCCAGGACAATTCACATTTAAGGGAGAAGAAATAAAGCATTTATTTAGCACCTACTCTTTGCTTGATTCTCACAACAAACTTAGTCCTTATTTCCATTCGACAGATGGGAAAACTGAGGCTCAGAGAATGTTAGGTTCACAGAGTGGCAGAGACAGGCTTTGACTTCACATCTCACTGATCACAGAGCTAACACTGGTATACAGATAACAGCAGTTCTCAAAGTGTGATTTCCAGACCAGCAGCATCAGCCTGACGTGGGAATCTGGTAAAAATGCAAATTTCTCAAGCTCTATCTACCTCCCCAGAAATGAATCAGAAACTCTGGGGAGAGGACTCAGTAATCTGTGTTTTAGTAAGCCCTGAAGGTAATGCTGATATGCACAATTCTTCAAGGGCACTTGGGCTTCCCTGCTGGCTCAGATGGTAAAGAAACTGCCTGCAATGCAGGAGACCTGGGTTCAATCCCTGGATCAGGAAGATCCCCTGGACTGGCAACCCATTCCAGTATTCTTGCCTGGAGAATTCCATGGACAGAGGAGCCTGGCGGGCTACAGCCCACGGGGCCACAAAGAGTTGGATGCAATTGAGCTACTAACATAGCACACTTCAAGGGCACTCAGCATACAGGGGAGCATGGCCTAAAAGAGAGATTCCCGAAGTGTGTCTCCAGGCAAGCAGCATTTCTAACTGGTTACAAATGCAAGTTCTGGTCGCCCTGCCCCCAAATCGACCGACGCTGAAACTCAGCATGCAGGGCCCCCAGGACTAGTGTAACAAGCCCTCCAAGGTGGTTCCAATATGCACCCAAGTTTAAGAACCTCTTTACCTTCTGCTGCCTCTTCTTTGTAAGCAAAGTGAGGGCCTTCCCTGGTGGTCCAGTGGTTAAGAATCTGCCAGTACAGGGGACATAAGTTCGATCCCTGGTCTGGAAAGATCCCACATGCCGTGGGGCAACTAAGCCCATGGATCACAACTACCGAAGCCCACACACCTGGAGACTGTGCTCCACCAAGAGAGGCCACCGCAGTGAGAAGCCTGGGCAAGGCAACTAAAGAGTAGCCCCCTGCTCGCCACAGCTAGAGAAAGCCCATGCACAGCAACAAGACCCAGAGAAGCAAAATACAAATTTTAAAAAATTAGCCACACAGGATAAGAAAAGATACCCTCAGCTTGTCCAAGTGCACAGTGACGAACAAGCTCCAGGAATGAAATGTTTGAATTTGTTATAGGTGTGTGGGAGATAGGTGGACAAGAAGGCATGACAGAGAAATCTGAAGATGCAAGACCCAGGCCAAGGTCCAGAGGTCTGCAGTCCTCTGGAAGGGAACATAGCTTTAGCCTGATGGAAACAGGGCCACTGTCACACGAGAAGAGAGGAAAGGTGAGGTGGTTTTTTTTGTTTGTTTGTTTGTTTGTTTGTTTCTGGTGACATTTATTCCAAAAGCAAATAGGATCCCTGGTGGCCCCATGGTAAAGAACCTGCCTGCAATTCAGGAGACCCGAGTTTGATCCCTGGGTTGGGACGATACCCTGGAGAAGGGCATGGCAACCCACTCCAGTATTCTTGCCTGGAGAATCCCAGGGACAGAGGAGTCTGGCGAGCTAGAGTCCATGGAGTCACAAAGAGTCAGACATGACTGAGCGACTAACACACACACACACACACAGCAGAAAGACAGGTGGCCTCCAGTAAACTCACTAAATGGAAATCCACCTCCAGCAGAAACATCTGAGACCAAAAGGGCTTGTCTTTGTCTCTTGTGGACAGGAAGGCAGTGGCAGCCTCTGATGACCACTAGCTGTATACCCAGCACCACGGGCCATGCTTTCCATACATGATCATTTTATCTCATGATAGCCCCCTTCCCTTTTTATAGTGGGGGAAACAGAGATGAGAGAAAGTAAGCATTTTGTTCAAAGTTTCACAGTTTGAAAGTGAGAAGCAGGATCCACACTTGTCATGCTATTGTAAAGAGCCAGTGGTTTCTGGTCTGGCACAGTCCACAAGAATTTCCGTACAAAGGGAAATATTGGCCAACATGGTAGTCACTTGCCTCGTGGTTACTAAGCTCTTGAAGAGTGGCTAGTGGTACTGAGAAGCTGGTTTTTAAATTTTACTTAATTTTAATTAGTTTAAAGAACCACATGTGCTCACTGTATTGGAGAGCTCAGCTCTCGATCAATGGTGAGTTCCATCTTTGATTTCAGGCTGATCCTTATCCCTGGGGGACTCAAGCTCGAGAGAACTGGTGACAAAATTCTAGCACAGGCCCTGGTCACAGAGTAGCAAACACCCTTTTCCCAGATCACCTTCATCCAGCATCCTCTTGCTGGTGGACGGTGATGTCAATGGCCACCTGGCCTTCCTGAGGCTTTGACAAAGCAAATCTCTTTTTTCCCTGGGGCACCCCCAGCCCACCATCACACTCATTATAAAGGTTTCCTAGGATTATAGTTGGCCAGTCACAAATTAACCCTAGTCCTTAAATAGAAGGATAGCCTTATGCAAGCTACTGAATTCTTAGAATCTCCACTTCCCCATCTATAAAAACGGGGAGGACATAATTAGCTTTTATGGTTATTGAAATGAAATGAGCTGATGTATAATGTAAGGCATCTCCCTTTCCTGACACCCTTACCCTACCTTCCACAACATGATTCCTCTAAGATCTAGAACTTTCCCACGTTTGAGGGTTGTTCTGACTATTCATGGATGATAAGGCACCTCAAAGATCTGAGTATTTCCCCAAATACCTTCCAGAGTTAAGAGTCCAGAATCCACGAGCAATTGTATCGTCACCCACAAGCCAGCAGCCCCAGTGCTCCACCTCTTCCTTGCCTGAATCAGCTGGTCTCCCCACATGGACTGGACCACACCGGCCACCTCATACTTGGCCTGCAAGGAGGCCACCTGGGAGGCCCCGCTGCCAACCACCGGACCAACAACTCCATTCACACAACAGGGGCCCCTGCCCTGCCGAGCCCATGACAAGGATGTCTAAAATCAAGTTAATTTCGCTTTCATCAACATGATTGTCAATAAAAAACTTATTATTCAGTCAGTGGATGTTTTAATTACCAAATGTCAAGCACTGACACTTTCCATTAGCAGTTTAATGGTCAAGAGGGACAGTCCTGAATGGAACCCCAGAAGAATCCCCAGTCCTCTCTTTCCCTAAAGAGGAAGGACCCCACCAGAACTTCTTGACACTAACCGCTTGGCATTCCCTTCTCAAAAGTCTCTAAAGGGAACGCCTCTCTACCTCTTGAAGAGCATCCATGCACCCCAAAGTTTTCTCGAGCCTGCTGGAATCTCCCCTGGTTCAATCTTTAATAGGAATTTGCAAGAACAGTTGACACCAGTTTACAGGCAATAAGGCAGAAAGACACTGAGCACCAGCTTGGGGGGGGTCCTATGAGAACCCCAGACCACGGACAATGCCTGGGTCCACAGACAAATGAGTCAGTTTCCTTGGGCTTCAGTCCCCATGCCTACAAAATAGGGAGTGTCACACTCATCTCACATGAGATCACGTATGTGAAGAATTTAGCTCAGAGCCTGCCTCCATAAATGGGAGAAACTGGTTTTGCTGTTGATGGTGCTATAGTTATTATTACACAAGAGGCATCATTAAGTGAGTTTTCCTCCACTGAGTCCTTTTTTAATTTCCCACTACATTCACCTTTATTCCTCTATAGTGCCATATGAGGCTTTCTTCACTTCATTCATTCATGGTTTCATTGATTCTACTACTATTTATTGAATGCCTATCCTCAGGATGGGGATGCACGAAGAAAATGGGCAGGTCCCTATCCTCAAAAAAGTTACAGACAGAGAGATGAATATTTAACAACTGAGCATACACACCGCACACTCAAAAGCCACCACACACCCCACCACACTTTAAAATTGTGATGGGGGGACTTCTCTGGTGGTCCAGTGGCTAAGACTGAGAACTCCAAATGCAGGGGGCCAAGGTTCAATCCCTGGTCAAGGGAACTAGATCCCACATGCCGAAGCTAAGACCCAGCACAGCCAAATTAATTAATAATTAATTAATTAGTTTCAAAAATTAAAAAATAAAATTGTGATGAATGCAGTGATGGAAGAGTCCAGAGCACAAGGGGGAATCACAGAGTCTAAGTCAGAGGACCACAGATTTTAAAATACTTTCAAGGATGAAACTACATTTCTATAGGTAGACTTTTGAGTTCCTGGAGCAGCAGGCAAATAACCAGCTCCCATGGTCTGGCAGAGTTTCCAGCTAAGATGGAACATGGACTAAGGGTTAGTTGAACTAATGAAGGGATGGCTGGGTGGATGGATGCTGACCTTGCTGCTACACCTTCAGTTACTAAACTTGGCTTCTGGTCCCTCATTCTCAAACCTGCCTCTGCTCCCTGGGGGTTTGCCTTCATTTTCTCTGTTTCTAAACATCATCTTGACCCCACCCCAAAGCTGTCTCGAGTCACGAACTGCATGCCTTGGAAATGCCTCCTGGAATGCCATTTGTTCTGAAAAAAGAAAAACCTTCACAGACAACATTTTCCACTCTGCCCTCCCAGCCCTGCCTCCCCCATCCTTGCCAGAGTTGTCTCCACTTCTTCCAAGGAGAATTTAAAAATGGAAAGTCACGTGCAAATGGAAACCTTAAGAAACCCAGTGCCTTGGAGAGATGACCATCTTCCCCAGGGAAGGTGGCTTATGCTGGAGTCATTTGTCTGCCCACGTTAGACCGCAAGGTCTCAGGCAGGGAACCTTATGTCTCCTGGAGCACTGAACACAGTGAAGGCACTCGACAAATTGTAAATAACCCTGGAGAGGAGGCAGCAATCAGGAACACTGGGTAAAACACTGCAAAAATGTCCCTCCTGCATGCAGAGCTGGGATGTAGCTTCATTCTCAGTCCATGTCTCAGAGCATCCTGAAACCACAGCCCTGGCCGGACTGTCACACGGGGTCAAGGAACTTTATTTACCCCATTGGCAAAGACTGATTGGAAAAGATCCAGATGCTGGGAAGAGTGAAGGCAAAAGAAGAAGAGAGTGAGATGCTATCGAACCATCTTCATTTATGAGATGCTTGGATGGCGTCATTGACTCAATGGACAAGAGTTTGAGCAAACTCCGGGAGATACTGAAAGGCAGGGAAGCCTGGCATGCTGCAGTCCATGGAATAGCAAGGAGTCAGACACAACTGAGCGACTGAACAACAATGGCAACAACAAAAAAGCAAGTAAGTCTTCTTCCCAGACATACTGATGTGGGAACACTGGCACCAACAATCACAGAGCAATGCAGACAGAGGACAGACCCATTTGGGTTGCAAAAAAAAAAAAAAGACAGAACCCAGTGGGAAATCTCAGAGCTCATCTCAATGTGAATCTATGGGCCAGCTGAGCTACACGAGCATCCTACCATTGGCTCCCACTGCTTTGGGAAAGGCAGCTAGTCCAGCAGCCCAGCCCAGGGGCCCTGCCTCTGAGAGGAAAGAAAACCTCTAACAGGTATTAGAGCTTGGATCTGCAATGTGTTCATGCCATGCATGACCTTGAACAGGTGGGCACATGAACGTCTCTAAGTCCCAGCTTTGTCATCCTAGCACAAAGCTCAAGGACTGTTGTGAGAACTTCTCCTCCAGGGTAGGTTCTGAGGGCAGAACTGTAGCAACACAGCTAAGTCTCTGCTCTTGGGCACTTCCAATCTAACTGGGGAGAAAGAAAAAGAGATCTTGTATGGCAAGTCCTGATAGCACTAAGATAACAAAGAAGGCAGGGGCAGGGGAAAGCAAGGTCAGAGAAGGTCTCTGAGATCACATGACCTCGGAACAGAGACCTTGACAAAGCGACGAGGCTGGGGGTGCAGCATTCCAGACAGGAGGGAAACGGGCTTGGTAGGGGTCTTCAGGGAAGACGGTCTCAGGATGTCTGAGAAGCAGCAGCGAGGCCAGGGTGGCCGGCAGACAAGCAAGGGGGATGGAGCAGTGGTCTGGGTGGGGATGTGTAGAGCCCTGGACTTTGTGCATGAAATGGGAAACCACAGTGGGTTTGTGGGAGCGAAGAGAAATCAGTAGTATGCTCCAGAAAGGGTCCTTCTGGCTACTGGGTAGAGATTAGAATACAAGGAGCACAGGGGGCCAAGAAGAGGTCATCACAACTGTGCAGCAGGAGGTGATGGGGCACGAAGCAGAGGCGCTGGTGGAGATGCTGAAGCAAGTAGACAGGTGACAAAATCTGAAGGCAAAGCTAAGAGGACCAGGTTAGATGTGGAGTAAGAGAAATCATCCAAGATGTCCCAGGGTGTGGATAACATCTAGGGAAGCACCCAGCACAAACCAGATACTCAGTATACATTCAAGCCTTTCTCCTTTCCTGACCCACCTGCCAGCAGACACGCTTCTCAAGGAACAGAACACCCAGGAAGCCTCCTGGTTTCAGAAGCTTGAGACAAATGGGTAAGGCGAGAATTTGAGGGAGAAAGTGGCAGAGCCCAGGTTATCAGCAGATCGGGTCTTCGGGGCACCAGAGTCACAAACTCTCAGCTCACAACTTCAAAAGAGAGCAAATATGAGAGGGACACAGGGATGCATGTCACAAGGAACACAGCTGTGTGATACAGGGCTGATTAGGAGCAAGAATGTGCTAAGTCGCTTCAATCGTGTCCGACTCTTCATGAAACCATGGACCATAGCCCTCCAGGCTCCTCTGTCCATGGGGATTCTCCAGGCAAGACTACTGGAGTGAGTTACCACGCTCTCCTCCAGAGGATCTTCCCAACCCAGGGATTGAACCCGCATCTCCTGCATCACAGGCGGATTCTTTACCACTGAGCCACGGGGGAAGCCCAGAGGCAAGGATATTCTAATATAAAACCTTTCAAGGATTTAATTTTGTTCTATTTTTTGTTTTTTTTGGTTTTTCAATATTTATTTATTTGTCCATTTTCTTATTTGGCTGTACCAGGTCTTAGTTGTAGCACGTGGGATCTTTAGTGGCGACATATGGAATCTAGTACCCTGATCAGGGATCGAACCCAGGCCTCCTGCATTGGGAGCATGGAGTCTTAGCCTCTGTACCACCAGGGAAGTTCCTTACTTTTGTTTTCAATTACCACCCCTCTCAAATTCCATTATATGAATTGAGAAGAGTCTGTTTAAAACATTTAAGCAAAGGATATTCATCAAAGCATTATCAATAATGGAAAATTGGAAACAATCTAAATTTCAAACAATTAAGGATGCATTCAATTTCTTACTTAAAAATGGCAAAAGAAAAGCATAAAGTAAAAAATAAAATTCACCATAATAGCCATACCTAGAAATAACCATAATAAAATTGCAGGCAGTTATCTTTCCAACTTTTTTTAACCTATGCATCTATTTGACCTTTTTGTTGTTGATATAAAATTGGGGTCATTCTGAATATACTGACTTACAATCTGAAATTTTTTTCTAGATAGCAAATACCGTAAATATTTCTCAAGCCATCAAATATTGTTCTACGACATGTCTTAATGGTTTCATGGTGTTTCATTATTTGAATGAATGCTGATTTACATAACAGATTCCGTATTGTTGTACATTTCAGTCATTTCCAATTTTCCATCATACAAATACTATTTCGATACACAGCCTTGCACATGAACTCTCATGAACATCTCTGATTATTTCCTTAAGGTAAGAGAATTGCCAAAACATGGAATTTCTGAATCAAAGAGACTATCCTTTGAAGTTTTTGAGAAATACTGTCAAACAGCCCTCCAGAAATTTGGTACCCGTTTCTCCCCCCAGAGTAGGGAATGCATGTGTGCGTGCTAGGACGCTGCAGTCATGTCTGACCCTGTGACCCCATGGACTGTGCTAGGACGCTGCAGTCATGTCTGACCCTGTGACCCCATGGACTGTAGCTCTTCTGTCCATCAGATTCTCCAGGAAAGCATACTGGAGTAGGCTTCCATGCCCTCCTCCAGGGGACCTTCCT